CAAAAATGAAAATATAAATAAATAAATAAAGGGAACCTGTATACATCTCTCTGGGCATCAGCTCCTCCTTAGGAATGTATTTTTACTTTAAAAATGGAAGTTTGAGGAAAATGAAAGTTTCACCCTTAGTATTTTCATAAGGAACCTTCATTTTTTCCAAAGTCTCCTGTATAAATTCTCAGCAGTGGTACACGAAGATGGACTGGTTGAAGCCCTGGAGGATGAAATGATTCACCTTGAGCTCCGAAGCTGCCTTCCCCCCCAGACAGACACACACACAAACACACCAATGTCATTTTGGTTTCTGAACATCGCTTCACCAAGCGGAGCTTTCCAGAGTCTAGTCACACTTCTGTACAGTGACCATTAGCTGTTCAAATGAGGCTTGATATAAAATCCTGGGAATACCTCGACACTGGACATGTGCTGGTCATGGGGCTCCTGACCCTGGGGTGCCCTGGAAGCTCTTTCCAGGCTGACAGCCTGACAGTGACCATGGCCCAGGCTGGGTTTGGTCTAACGACTTCCTGCATCGCAGCCAAGCCTTTCAGAATTAAGAAGCCAACTCTGGAGACAAGCAAATAGGATTCGTGCCCACCTCTGCCCCTGAGTGACGAGTGAGTGGCTGTACCCCCAGGTCTCAGGCTTCTCATCATCAGGGCTAACTAACAGCAGGGCCTACCGGTACTTCCGGGCCAGCGGGCAGAGCTCAGTGGCGCAGTGCATATGGAACCCGGCACGCAGCAAACTCAGTTACTACAGGAAAAGGCAATTCCTCGGGTTCTTTCAGGGAACTGCCTGCCAGCTGATGCGTCCAGCTCTCCCTGGGACTCTTTTCCTGGTTCCCCTAACGCTGGCAGCTCCTTTGTAAAGCTCTCTGTTCTGCGTGGTGAATACAACTAGGGCTACAGCCAAGAGAGCGCCGTTAACTTTTTCTGAATGGGTTAAGGCTGGAATTTTCAATAGAAAACATTCAAATGCACAGAAGTCGCCCTATGAAAGTATACAAGGCTTCCTGAGCCCCTCATTAGGACTTGAGGTTTGAGAACAGCTGAAATGCATTTCTGGCCTGGGAAGCGGCTCGGCTCCCCTTCCAGGCTCTAGGCAGTCAAATCTGGCCAAGGGGTTTGAGCATGGCTTTTCTGGGTGGTCTCAGCTGGGCTGGGGCCCCTAACCTTCCTGATACTCAATTAGCTTAGATCTCTGTCTCTAAGAGGAGAACAAAAAACGGTGTCTACCACACAGGGTTTGATGCAAGGGGAACATGTATAGTAGCCCCTGAGCAAATAAGACTCCTCAATGCCACCATCATCAGCTCCATAATGCTTAACTCGCTGTTTTCCAAGATTTTCTTAGACAGGGGTATTCTCTAGAGCCTGTTTTCCTCAGTATCACTGTGTATTTTTGTTTGTTTGTTTGGTATTTTTTTTGGGGGGGGGTGTCTTTCTGAGACAGGGCCTCACTATGCAGTTCAGGCTGGCCCTGAGCTCACTTTGTAGCCCAGGCTGACCTTGAACTCACAATGATCCTCCTGCCTCAGCCTCCTGAGTGCTGGGATTACAGGCATGTGCCACCACGCCTGGCTTTCCCTGTGTATTTTTGATCAAGGAGTAGAGATCTTCAGAAGCTTTATAAGCCAAGAATAGAATAGGGCTCAGGAACGCTACCCTCAGA